ATGAAACCCAAAAGATCCAGGGAGATGTAATGGGATTGGTTTAGCTAATAGGTAATTAGCATAAAGAGAGCTATAACTATAGCTCATGGGCAACTTTGAGTCAGTGTATATAGAATATCTCTGGCTACTAAGTTTGATCATCATAACAATTGAAAATAGCTCCATGTCTTTAATATGAACATGATCCATGTGTATCCAAGCCCATGGTTCTTTTTCTTTAGGCCATGAGTGAATTCTGTTTTGCCAAAAATTTTTTTTATTTCAGCACATATTGGGCACATTTTTACATAGTTTTCTACATCTTGAGAATATCCTGGCCACCATGCTTGTTATTTTAATTTCATTTGTATCGCTGTTATACCACAATGTACATCATCATGTACAACTTTTAGTACTTCTTTTCTTAAACTTTGTGGGGGTATTATAATATCTACAATGCATACTATGCCCTTCTCTACAGTTAACTTGATTCTTTGTAGGGTCTTTCTGCCATTGAACAATTGCTCCATGTGTTTCTTTTTATTCATCTGAAATTCTACTTAACACTGGATTTTGTATGGTTTCCATTTTGAGACAATTTAGGGGTAACACATCCTTTTCAACTCAGTGCAGTATTTTATCTTCTGAATTTTCAGATGTTTCTAATTTTTTAGTGTCAAAATTTAGTCTGGATAGCGCATCTACATATGAAATAGTGTTCCTTTTTATGTATATAACATCAAAATCAAAGTCTATGAGTTTTATAGACCATCTTAAAATTCTAAAAGATGTGACTTTTGGTAATTTCTTTCTGGGGTTAAATATATACTCTAAAGGTTTGTGATTTGACTTTAACAAAAATTTTCATCCTAACAAAAAATTTTGATCTATTTCTGTGCTCCTTACTATTGCTTTACGCTTCTTTCTCAATATCTGACGTTAATTTTCTCGACAGGTACATTATTGAATGACCTTCTTGAGGTAAAATCACAGCTACAGCATGTTCACTTGTATCTGTAGTCAATATCACTTCTTTTTTTGGGGGGATTAAAAGTTTTTGCAATCGGTTTTCTTATTAGTGCATTTTTTAAGCTTTCAAAAGCTATATTTTGCCTTTGAATCCATTTAAATTCTTTTTCTGTAATTCTGCAAATGGTTCCATTATGTTGTTGTATCTAGGTAGATATCTGCTATAAAATTTTGTCAATCCCAAAAAGGATTCTTTTTTATTTTTTGGTGTAGATACTTCTGATATTTTATTTATCAGTTTATTGTCTGGTGAAATTCCTTCTTTATATATTCGGTATCCCAAATGTGATATTTTGTCACAATTTAACTCATATTTATCACTATTTATCGTCATACCAGCATTTTTTAATTTGTTTAAAACTTGTTCAATCCCTCTTTACTGCAAGCACTTATGCCTATATCATCATGATATATAATTATATTTTTTACCCCCTCCGACAGAACTTTTCAGTTGCCTTTTGAAAAATATAGTTTGAAGTCTTAACTCCAAATGAAAGATGAGACCATCTTAGTAAACCTATTGGGCTGTTAATTGTAGTGACTTCTTTAAATTTTCTGGCAATTTCTATCTGGTTATATGCCAATTTCAAGTCAATCTTGGCAAAGTATTTCATTCCTGATAATTCATGACTTGCGATTTCTATATTAGGTAAGAAGAATGAATCAGAGCATATCTGATGATTCACACCTTTGTAGTTCTCGCATATCTGTAAATTGTCATTGGGCTTTCATATCGCAACAATTGGGTAACTTTCTCCAATATGCCTTGTTCTACCATTTTCTTTAGTTTTCCAACTACCATTGGTAGAATGTGAATGGGTATTTTCCGAGATTCAAAATAAATTGGGTGATTATTCTCTTTTAGATGAATACTCGCTTTATATCCTTTCAATAGTCCCAAATCAGGTTCTTCTGGCTTTAATTTATTAATTTTAATTTTGTTGTATCCACTTTTAAAACGGCTATTCCCAGGAGTCCATGATTTTTTGTGCATTCTACAACAGTGATGGGAATAATCTCAAAACGTTTTTTTGTCTTGAAAGTTCCTTCAAAGGAGCCTAGAGCTATAATGACAGATCCATGAAATTGTTTTAAATTAAGATTACATTTTCTTAATTTGGGTTTACCAATTTTTTCACAAAAATTCTTTGGGATCAAAGTAACATTGCTCCCCATGTCAACCTTTCATGGGAAAAGTTATGCCATTCAATTTTACTCTCTACTTTTTACAAGTGTTCTTATCGAATATACTTCTGTATTTTCAGTATGTGGGTTTATACTTTTTACCCTTTCTAGTGTCTTTTTGTATCTGCACATAGTTTACAAACGGTCTTTTCTTTTACAGTTTAAACAATTTTCCTAGAGTTGGACATTTGTTTTTGTTTCTTTTGTATTCTTTGTCACAATACTTGCACTTAATTAGGATTTCAGTTGTGTTGTATGCTTCAACATTGTTTTTAGAATTATTAAATTCATTTATTCTAATTGCTGCAAGAATTCTACACTTGCTTCTAAATTCCTATCATTTGCTTGTAGATGTTCTAAGATCTTATGTTTGTATGTAATGTCATACATGTCTTCAATTAATCTTAGAAGGATCATTTCGTCTTCTATAGACATTTCTCTTGAACCCAGTTTTTCAATTTGCAATATCTTGATGTTTATTTCCATCTGTTTAAATATTGCATTACAGCTTCATTTGGGTTCTGTCTATTTTCCAGAAATTTTGTTCTTTCTGCAATAACCAGCTTTTATATTTTGGTCAAATGTTTCTTTTTATAATAGTTGAAATTTCCTCATATGTTAAGTCTTCCAGTATTTTGGGGTACACCATAATGGATATTATCTTTATGGCTTCACATCCTGCTGAAACCAAAAATAAATCAGTAATTTCATTCTCTCCCTGGGGGCTTTCTTGTCTTTCAGGTTCTTTACCCTGGCCAACGCTGCTAAACATCTAATCCACGTTTCTACATGTTCCAGTTCATCCAATGTGGTTAAGAATCCTACTGGTGATACGATATTGTTATGGAGTAGAATACTCTCTGGAATGTCAACAGATAGTAGCTCAACTGGTGTTCACTGTGGCATACTGCTTTTATAGCAGTACTTCTTTTACATACAATGCTACAAGGATATTGATCACAATTTTATCCAACCAGTTGAGACACAAGTGAAAAGAGAAAAGATACACAGGGTTATAGCATACAGACTATATGTGAATGCTTAAATGGCAGAAAATAAAAGCACACTGGGAAAGTTAATAGCAGCAGGTCCTCAATAGACATTAGGAAAGAAAGCAGTAATAATGAATTCAATGGACAATTCTGCTCAGTTTCTAGATAATGTTTGATAATAAGCATCAATTTGATATTTTTTGCATTTTTGTAGAGAAATAACATGACAAAAAGACTGACTGCAACTAATTCTCATAATCATATATATATTTTTTAAAACTATAGTTGTAGTAACAATAAAAGCAAAACAGCAAATGAGTTCAATAATCGAAACAAAAAATTATGACTTTTCTAAAAAAAAATTATATACAATATTTTTCTGGAACATTGGTTTAAAGTACTCAAATTTTACTAAAAAATTACTAATCTATAATTGATTAGAGTGATCATGAGATCCATTTACTCAGCACCTGTAATTGAACACCAGATCTCGGTACATTAAGTTGGACTTCCTAACCACTGAGCTATGCTAACAAAGTGATAAAATGTATGTTTTCTCAGAAGCTATCAGCTAAGTTAAGCCTTGTCTGATACAGTAGCGGCACACAGTGAAGATGAAATTTACTCACAATGGCTCATGAAACCAGCTTGCTAATCATCATTCCACAAGGCTATAATATCTTCCGCACATATCCATCTTCTTATTTCATCACAATAAGAAACAAATATACTGGGTCTTTAAAATGATCTATGTATTATTAAAACATAATTTACTGGTTGCAAAAAGTTATATTAGTTTAAATAAAGGCACAAAAAAAACAAAATATGTGGCAAAACCAAAGATTGTTGGTGTTTTATTTTAGGAAATACAGCAACTTAGAGCCAAAATAAAGGTGAAATCTTCTTACTATTGTGTATATGTCCTCAAATACATTTGTTGTGTCTTTTCCAAGGCAAATCTAACCAATATTTACACTATTTATATTCAGACTATTGTCTTCATCTTTGTTGTTGCTATCACATTTCAAACATTGTGTCCTTCCAACTTCCTCAAGTGTATATCAATCTGGATAACCCACAGTAAATTCCGAACTGAACACTTTATTTAATCTACCTGGGTAGACAGTTCTTGTTCCACTGCTCATGTCTAGAGATATTATGTGAGGAAGGCACAACAGCCAAAACGTTGATAACCAGAACAAAGATGAGGACAATAGTTCAAATATAAATAGTGTAAATAATGATAACTCCTCATTCCAGACAGAAAATCTAGGAAAATCTCATGAGTCTTCCTGCTTCTAAGGTTAACTTCTGATACTCACACCACTGTGATTAATTTGTCTAGGGTGGCCATTTCCAAAAAGAAAAATACTGCAGACTGAAAAGGACAACCTGGGCAGATAGAGATTTCAGATGTATGACTCATACACTATGGCTCATCAAGAATCTTCATAATGACAACAACTTATAATGAAAATACATCAACACTTGTAGCTTTCATTTGCCTCTGTTTTAAGTGCATCTTAGGCAATTTAAGTTTTTTTTTAATCAGATTTCCCAAATGGAAGTGACACCAGATGTCTCTAAAAGAAATTCTGTTGAACTCAGTAATTAAAATGAGGTATAAACATCCACATTCCTTGAAATCCAACTAGCATGAGCTAATAAAGTCCTAAAGATATTGTCATAAATATACTGCAAAAGGAATTGACCATACAAAAAAAATGAATGTCTAAAATACAATAAATGAAATAAATTAAACTGTTTATACAAACAAAATATTTTGTGTCAGTGCAAGTAATTTAAGGCTCTTACCTCTTGTCTGGAAGCTGTGAGGCTGAAATTATGTTGTATTGGTGGCAAATTTACATAATGAAAGGGAGATAACCGTTCACTACTGGTGCAACCATTAATTGAAAGCGGTGGAAGCATTTGAACTCTAGGCGGTTCAATTTCATAATCTGAAAAAAGATTCAAAATTCTAATTAATAACAATAATAAGAATATATTACGTTTTTATTACTTACAAAATATTTAGTTGGTGATGAAAAATTAGAAATTTTGTAGCTGTTTTCTGGAGTCCTGAGATTAAGTACATTTATTATTCTATATATTTTTCAAACTTTTATCTTCATTATTAACTTTTTAAAAATAGTTTTATTCATCCTATTGTTGGTTTTCATCACAACATTCCAGGTTGAAAATCCATCGACCATTAAAGGAAACAGCATGAAATCAGAATTAAGTAGTAGTTTCTATTGAGACTTGGAACTTGCAAACATTTATTGACCGAACAACCACTGCTACTTTTGGTTTGGTTTTGTAATCTTTCTCTTAAAACAATTTTTCAAAAACATAGGTTTCCCAAGTCTAGTAATCGTTATATCTCTTTCCAGTATTGATGGTGGTTTCCTTCCTAACCTTTTACTTGAAGTAGTGTGGAATATCAGCATCCTGACTATCTCATTATTTTCTCTTTGAGTCATGTGCAATATTCATTTTAGTTGTTGCTGCTGTTGAAAGTCCTCAAGTGTGATTTCTTTTATTTGGTAATGTTCTTTGTTTGTGATTATGTAGCGCCATTCCATGATCTTAGACAATATATACAGAATGTATTAGATGCAAGTAGACAATGACATAAACAATATATTAACCAATTCATCTATATGTAGGACCCAAATCTGCCATTTATCAGTAATGAAAATAAACAACAATTATTCAACATAAGAAACTTTAATGAACTAATTTTACAGGCTGCTGTTAGAGATTTAAATAGTCCACCTTTATTTCCTTGTGAGAGTTCCTTAAGGGCCGATAATCTTATTTCACAAGGGAGTTCCACAAGGGTTACTAATCATTAATATTACATTCTCCCCTTCAATTTTTTATTTTTATGATTGATCTTTTCAAATTATGAATAATCATTCTCAGACAAGGAGGAAATTTCATCAGAAATTGTCCAAAGTTCATTTTGGGAGAAAAGTACAAGGAATAATTGTAATTTAGAAAAGTCTATCAGTAAAATGAATCCATTTGCCATATATATATATATATATATATATATATATATATATATATATATATATATATATATATATATATAAAAAGAAAGAACAGTAAGATATATAATCCGGTGTTCTTATAAATATTTTTATTTTTACAAAATAGTGCTCAATGTAAATTTACAGAGCATTAATATTATAAATTAATTGATTTAAAATACGGTTTTTTCCGCTACACAGTTCTAACCATGTTTCAAAAATAGAAGCTAAAAGCCCCGAATTTAATTTTGCAATTAAATTAAAAGCATTAGTTCCATTTCATCCACAATATATATATATATATATATATATATATATATATATATATATATGTGTGTGTGTGTGTGTCAAATAGTCTTTAGATGTGTACATGAAATAAGCTTTGGAGTAAATGTCTTTTTTCAATTGTCTGATTTTTTTTTAAATTGATTAACTTTTTTTTTTTTTGGCATAAAATTACTATTGATACACTTATATTCTCTATATAAGATTAAATATTAAAAAAGCAAATTGGAATTCTCTTGAATTCATGCTCCTACCAGAGTAATTGTCATTTTCTTTTAGGTATTCATTCTGTTCCATAACAACACAGCCATTTTGTTTCTGACAGTCATTAACCACATTAATTTCAGCATCAGGTTGCATTTCAGTATTTTTACTGTAAAATAATTAAAAGAAAAAATTAAATTTTCATTTTTTTAAAAGTAAGGCTATCATTCAAATAAAAGTGGTGTCATCAATTTAAAACTGTTTAATATATGATTTAGTAGATTTAAAAAAAAATAACAATGAAACACTGTTGAGCATCAACAAGGAAAATCTTGTGTGTGTAAACAAAAAAAAAACAGCAAAAAAAATTATCATAAAGAGTTGGAAGTGGAAGGTAAAAGAAAAATGTCCAGTTGGTCAATGATATTCACTAATCAATTGTCTCAACTAATGTAAACTTATCATAGTTACTTTTTCATATAGGTCTTTGCTGTGGAACTGGTCAGTGAATGGTCAATCTCCTTTTGAGAAGGCAGACATTTTTAAAAATGTTTTGTTTTTATTCATTTTTAAGAATGTTTCGTTTTTGTTCATTATGCCAGTATTCCAAGGCCCAAGCAGACATCTTCCAAAGCTTGCTTCTTGGTTCAATCTTCTTTCTACTTTACATACAAGAGTTGGCTAAAATGTTCATAGGCTGACAAAGATATAAATGTAAGTAAACACACAAGTTGGTAGACTAAAAGAATACAACAGTTGGTCAGCAAGTAAATGATTTGCCTAAGAGTATACTCTGATCATTTGTGAATATCTATTCTGATTATACAACAGTATATGGGTGTGCTTGCAAGACTGTAGATAATCAAAATCTGGCAGCTGATCTCTGCTCTGACTTAGATTTAATGCCTCGAAAATCAACCTGGTAACATTCCGTCATCACTGTGGAGACCTTGAATTTTCACCTATTGTGATGAATGGATGTTCTTACAGGGGAGGCCCCATGCTTTGAGCACCTACTGAGACTGAAGCTCAACTCAGACATTAAGTGGAACTCATACTTAGCTGGAAAAATGGTTGATTCCTTGCACCACTCCAGTAAGTACCGGACTCCTCCAGTTATCATTTATCTTTACAAGTGTTGTGCTGCCATATATGAGCAAGGAGCTGCCCAGTCTTCACTTTCCAGTTTCAGTAGAGTTCAAAAACATCTTCACATTCTTGCGGGTGACAAATTATTTTCCACGCTACAACCTCTTTTCCACAGATGAAATGTCACAAGTCTCTTACTGCTCTATCATTATTACCATGGAAAGTGCTTACTGCTCTATCATTATTACCATGGAAAGTGCTTACTGCTCTATCATTATTTGCTTACTGCTCTATCATTATTACCATGGAAAGTGCTTACTGCTCTATCATTATTACCATGGAAAGTGCTTACTGCTCTATCATTATTACCATGGAAAGTGCTTACTGCTCTATCATTATTACCATGGAAAGTGCTTACTGCTCTATCATTATTACCATGGAAAGTGCTTACTGCTCTATCATTATTACCATGGAAGCTTACTGCTCATTCATTATTACCATGGGAAGTGTTGAGATGAACTACATTCCTTAGTGCTACCAGTTCTAACATTCACAGTTAAGACCCATCATTCCATGCTCATTCTCTTTGTATTCCATTGGTGAAATGTAAGTTCCACTCAAGCAGCTTCTTCCCACAAATCGTTGCTGTGGAACCAGTCTCCCAAGAGGATGCTTCCCTGATCAAAATAATCTTAACCTGTTCAAGTTTAGGGTCAATCATTATCTTCCCCACAAACTGTGCTTTTTACTCTGTAACTTCCTACCTGGAGTGGCTCTTGGGCCTTGTACAGTGTTAAAAAAGGCTTTATCTGGAAAAATGTCTTGTTTTGCTCACTTTTAGAAATGTCTCATTTTGTTAATTTTTAAAAATGTTTTGTTTTCATTTTTAAAAATATTTTGTTTTGTTTATTTTTAAAAACGTCTAATTTGAAGGATCAAATTTAAGTGCAAAATTCTGAGCAAAGGTAATTAACAAAAATGTTTTTAGTTTCATTATTTTAACTTTTAAAATTGCTGCAATATTAAATTTCATTCTAACAGGGTTTCAACTACAGATGAAACAACACAATTACTGAGATTTTGGAGATAAATATTTAAATTGTTTCGGTTAATAATGGCTGATAGGCTAATCTAAGTGTCTTTTGTGCATTTTGAGATTTTGTGTTTTACATGTAGGTGTAGAATTCAATGAATTTTATAAACTATAACAAAAAAAAATGTTAAAAATATACCCAGTTTTTCCATTGACGGTCTTTTTAACAGATTTCACTTTTTTCTTCCCTACACCTGCATCCTTTACCGATCCTTCTCTTCTTTTCCCGAATTCTTTGTTGCTTTTCCTGCCAACTTTTTGCAAAGCCACACTGTATGTCTGTTTCTTGAGACCCTTCTTCTTGAGCAGGGAAGACTGTCTTTCAATTTGCTTTTCTTCTCGTATCAAAGTTGCTTCACTTGTGTCAGTGTTTATATCCTGAAACAGCAAGAACAAGTATCACATTCTGGGCTTTGAGGTAGACTCCTCCTTTAAGTTGAGCTAAGATGTGGTAATATCGAAGGTAAGAGATATGAGGCAAAGTTTAACATTCATACCCACAAAAAAACAATGTGTCAAAAGGATAATTTTTATCTTGACAATGTTATGTATATTCCTCCAGCAAATTTTATTGCTTTAAAAAGCTATTTTTAGAATTTTAATAAAACCCAAACATATGAAATTGGATTTATACATTCTCTATTTTTTATCAAGAATTGACAACAAAAACTATTAAACCCTAATCTTGTAATTAAACAGTTTAATAAATAGTGTTTACCATTTTTGTTGATAATTTTTGAGAAAAAAAAATATAAATCCAGATACTCACAAACTATTTTATTAAATTTATGCAATGAAAGTAATTTAAAGAAATGTCCAGAAAATATATTTTTTCAAAATTTATAATGGCAGTTATTCATAGTTATGTGTTTATTTAAATTTTTTTGTTCTCTTGTTCAGACATTTTTATAAATTTATGAATAAAAAAATTTGTTTTCATAGTTATTTCATTATGATATAGTAAATAATAAGTATTACATCATAGTTGGTTCACATTTTTATAAAATTGTAAATATAAAATTATTCTTCTAAATAAACAATCTAATAAAATAAATAATATTTAATTCTTTTGTTGAGAAAAGTACTGCAGTAAATTCTCTTAGTGGAGATAAAAAGGGAGCAATATTCAGAGTGACAGCAAAGCTTCAATAGCAGCAGCTGTAGTAAGAAGTGAAGCCTCTGTTAATTGTGACAAGTAGCAGCAATACTCATCAGCAGGTAGGTTAGGCTTAAAGTTCCAAGTCCTCCACTAAGAATTGTTCTACAATAGCCTAGTGAATTCAGTGACTTAGTAATTGTGAGTTCAATCCCTGGGTTGTATAGTGTGCATTTGGACTCAGTGGAAAAACAAGCAATAAATGAGTAGTACTAAACTAGATGAGATATTCCTAGATATGGGCAGCAGAATGAGAACAATCTGGGATATTGATTTAGTATAGACATGTATTGAAAAAGGAATTAATGCAAGCATTATTGATAGAATAAGGCTGTAATATGTATAATTTAAATGCATTGTTAATGATTTACTATAGAAATGTATTGAAAATAAGGAAGAAATTAATGCAATTATATGTATATTATAAATGCTTTGCTAATGATTTCACAATAGAAAAGCTTGGTTAATCAAAAAGGAATTACTAGTAAAGCATTACTGATAAAATTGAATTGTTACTTATGAGATTGTTATGCGTCTAAGATAATAACAATGTGAAAATAATCTTCTATTTTTTAAAAAATATTTATTTTGTTACTTAAGTAGTTGTCTCAGAAGAATATCCAAAATATTCCTTATTTTAACATATCAGAATGCATGCTCAAGTTATCTCCCTTTGAATAATAAGCTCTCTCTCTATCATACTCACACACAATGAATGCATTTATTGAAAAGTCAATTGATGTTTTCATGCTGCTTTTAAACTTAGATGATTATTATATTCTTGTGTCTTAAATGAAAGGGTAGGTTGGAAAATTCATTCAAAATGAATTTGTTTTCAGAACGAAAAAGGAAGGAAAGCGGGTTAGAATAAAAAGACCAGTTTGAATAATCATACAGGTTGTAAAAAAAAGTGGAAAATAAAATAATTGATAGTCTGGAGTAATCAATGGGTTGGTTGGAAAAATATCAAAATTGAAATAACCAGGCATGACATGAGAGTATGTATCTAAATCATGGGTATTCATGACAAAATTTGATTTCTTTCTCATTGTCATATTTATGTTTGGCTCAGAATCACATCATGCTCAATCAAAAAAAAAAAAAATTAAATAAAAATTAAAACTTATACATTCATTTAAATTTTATTCATTTATTTATAAAAACTGATTTTTTTTCTTTGGCCTAATGTGTAAAATACATATTATACAGGTCCATTGTCAGAGTGTTTCGATATGTGTAAGAATTTGTACACAGAAATTTAGTTTACATCATTTTCACAGTGGAGACTATATAATTTTGTGATGGGGGCCAGGCCCTTTCAGTTCACCCCCACCCATGCCCTTGGCAATGAGTTTGATGATCTAACACTTGTACTGAAAATTTTGGAAACTGCTAATCAAAACAAATGAAGCAAAATTCTTGGTAGCCTTTATATATTTTACAATACAAACCTGCATTGAAGTACTGAACATAAGTTGTGGAGTAGCTGATTTTGAGTGTGTAGATTTTGCTGGACGCATGCGGAAACACTTGAAATAGATGAAAAGAATACACCAAATAAGGAATAAGGCGGATAGCAAAGTTCCAAGAACAGCTCCAATGATCCAGTCCTTGGATGGCTCTGGGTTGGGTAGCTTTAAATAAGCTGCAAAGAAATAACACAAAACGTACAATTAATGAATATTGGTAAAAAATAATATAAAAAAAGAAAATTGATCTTGTAGGCATACCTAACTATTTTGTTTTGATTTTCCTTAATGAAAATGGGTCATTTAAAACTAATGTTTAGTATCATTGACGTATCTCTTGAGTTCTCTTGAATCTGTAGACTTCCACTTGAGTATAAGGCCACCACAGTCAAATGATACTGGATGATGCAGCTTGTTTCAGTAACAAGTAGGTTTTACAGGGTGAGTTTGCTAGCCCTACAACAAACCTGTTTTTGAATTTAGAATTGCCCTTCACCTACATTAGCTGCTGCCCAAAGCCAGATAGCTCAGTCGGTCTTGAGAGAGAAAAGATGCATTCATACTTTTACCAAAAGAATAATGTAAGAAATGTAAGGAACCCCAGTGATATTGAGAAGTATTTTCTGGATATTTGTTGTCAAATTGTTTCAGTCCCAAAACTATGTTTGGCTTTATGTTCATAATTTGATGATAGTGCAGGTTATCCCACTTGGCTTTGCCAAAACACCTGTCAGGGGATGCTCTTTAAGTCTATATAAAAGCAAGCATATTCTCTCTCTATTTCTTTCTCTCTCCCACATGTAATTCCTTTTGTTAATAACATGCATTGTCATTTGTTTTATATTCATTGTCTTGTGTATTTATTTTTAATTGGACTCACAATGCGTCCACCAATATTGTTTGCAGGATAAAAAATGTCTAAATGCCTTGCAAACAAAGAGGTGATACCCGCAACAATAACTTTGTTGGATGCAACACTCCTGTTTTTGTAACAGTAGTTTAAAGAAATATATATAAGTAAGCTAATGGATTTTTCATTTACTAATAAACATAATTAAAAAATTGAAAGAATAAATTTCAAGCAGAAATCTTTATCACTCTGATTAATGAATCCTAAATAGAAAGGCCATTGATTTTTTTTTTAATATATGATTCTGTTTAAGGCCCTATGATGATTACTGAACAAGGCGTCTGCCTGAGAAAGGCTGAAGAATACTTCAACTGAAATGCTACTACAAATAAAAACAATAAAAAATAATAACAATACTTCATTTTAGGACTTGAAGTAAACAAAGAGGAAAAACATTGAGACAAGAAAAAAGAATGGCTTAAAAATTGCTAAAAATAATATGAAATTGCATAATTAATAGACACATTGAAACATTCAATTAAAGAATATTTGCTTTTATTTCAAGAAATTTATTCTCAAACTGAGAGAAAAGGAAATTAATCCATTTTGAATTTTTAATAAATTCTATGGCAATAACAGTCTAGATGAAAATAATAGTCCAAGCAAATCAATGTATAATAAAGAATTTCATCAGTTAAATAATAGTTTAACAGACTATTATTTTTAGGGAGAATGGTATTCTGGCTCAGACTTCCTGAGATTGACCTTAGGGATCAGATAGAAGACAAAACAAGGAAGTTGATTTTGATTGGCTGAATGAGCGTGAGAATGATAGAGATACAAAAAGGTTTTTCAGTTAATTGGTCCTTATACGTCAAGCAATATAGACATGTTTTTTTGTGTCTGGAACTGCTCCCCAGTGGGGAGAGAGAGTGATCCCACTGGGTAGCTAGAAGATGTATACTTCGACGTTAATAAAAATGCTAAGTTAAAATTCCCTGTATTGAAGTTCTTTTATCTCTGGACTCAAAACAACTAGCGATCAACAGCCACAAAAGAAGGAGGCAAATTTATTATTATCGAGCGATCTGTGTTGTTCAAGAGCCCCCTAGTATGTGAGGGCTATACAACACATCCATTCAACACTTATTTCCAAATAAGGCACTGGCTGACATAGATGAATACTTCACACCAGTACCAATTAGTGTTTAAAGCCCAGGCAATAAAAACAGTTTTGAATATTGATTTTTCAAGGAAGGGAGACATTATTTGGGTGAATGGTAGACCACAATATTTCTTCTTTTTCCCTATATTTGGCCTAGTGCAGGATTAAAATAAATTTAGTATAAACATTTGTATTCATAGAAACATACTTGGTAGTGATGGTATTAGTATATATCTGGCGTCAGGGGTTGATACAAAGCCTAGATTTTATAATGCTGATTTTCAAAGCAGCATGGCTTTCTCTACTTGATGGATTGGTGAATCACAATCTTTCTACCTCATTTCTCTCATCGGGCTTTGTAATGTTCTAGTGTTGATCAGCTTGTTGAATTAAATGTGTATTTGCAATCAGTTTCTGAAAAGCTAGGATTTTAGTATGCTGATTTTCAAGGCAGGCAAGAAGGCAGGCAGGCTTTTCTTGGAAACTCAGCAAAACACAACCTTTCTCCTCCATTTATCTTCATTTGCTTCGGTTTAGGTTACAGTGTATCAGCCTTTTCCAAGTTATTTAATGTTGATTTCTGTTGTACAATAAATAGGGAGACATAAGATGGGTTTGCACAAGAGTCAAAAAAGGCAGATGCTAGAAAGATGCTCAGTTCCTTGTACCACTTCAGGAAGTATGTGACTCATTCTATCATGCTATATCTTTACAAGAGTTAGATTAATTCAAAGATTGCTGCCACTTCTGGGTTGTAGCTGCCTAATCCTCACTTTCTAGCCTTGACAGAGCTCAAAATCATTTGTGTGACCTTGTGGGTGATGAACTGTTATTCACTCTGAAATTCTTTCCCCATAGACAAAACGTTGCTAGCCTCTCACTATTGCTATTTTCATAGCAGAAGTTCAGGGGGACTACATTCCTTTGTTTCACCAGTCCAGAAACACAGCTAGGACCTGCCAGGCCACTTACAAGGTGCAATGGGTAAATTGTCGCCATTTTATATTTTTAATTTCCCCGCATGTGCATTGTTTGTTTTTGTTGATCACACAGTATAGTAGGGTCAGTTGGGCACTGTAAGAAAAAGAGCATCATGATGCAAATCAGTCCATCAGAAACTTGGAAACTGCATGCCAGAAGCTCCAATACAAATATTTGGGTGTTAATCTGAGGACAGTGCAGAGGATTCAGAGAGTTGGATGAGTCTAATGGTGATTATGAAGGTACAGTAGCTCAGAAGACTCACTCTGATTGTTCTGATGAGAAAAGAACTCATGAATTTCTTGGTGAGGACCTCAGACTCAACACAGGCATACATCAAGTGCCTTGAGGAGATAGTGCTGCCCTGATTCAAAACAGGAGTTGCTGGAAGACCCTATGTCTGGCAACAAGACTCTGCACCATGCCACACAAACAGGAGAACCCAGTCATGGCTGTCAGACAATATCTGCGACCACATCATCTCTTACATCTGGCCACCTAACTACCCAGATTGCAACCCCCTTGATTATTTATGTGTGGGGTGCAGCTGATCAAGAGACCAACAAAACTCTTTGTAACACAAAAGAAGAACTGAAGGCAAGGATTATGGCAGCATTTACCAATTTAAACAAAGAGACCATCCAGAAGAGATGCAGAAGATCATCTAGAGGCTGTGGCTGAAGTCAATGGCAATTTTATTGAATAAATTTACTTTTTAGTATTCCAGGATATTTTTGTGTAATTTTCATAAATATATCTGTTAAAATGAGATGTCAATGTTATTTTCATCTTTGATAATTTAGACGACAATTTATCCATCGCACCAGGTACACTTGAATTGACTTGTCCTCATTGCGTTCATATTTAATTGGTAGGATGGAAGTTCCACTCAAATAGCTACTTCATAAGAACTATTGTATTGAGACTCTTCAGATGCTTCCACAACGACTACAATCTTAAACTCTTCATGTTTAGAATCAACCATTATCTAACCTACATATCCTTATAATATACACTTACTGCTTCTTTCTTAGAACAATATCCTTTAGTAACCCTCTACCTTGAGTGGCTCTTGGGTCTTGTATTGGGTGAACAGTAGTAAAAAAAATAAAATAAAAAGGGTTTGATCTATATGTGAGTCAGAAAATGTAGTTATCGGTACAGTAAACAAGTAACTCATTTTTAGGGTGTTTAATCCTCTGCATAGGAATGCAGTCAACATACCCTGTCAACTGGGGTCAAGGCTATTTCTCATTTGGCCTTCTGTTATAGTGAGCTATGCTTAGTAAATCTGACATATGACTGTCCTTTCTTCCTATACCTTGATTGACATTTTCAGTTATTTTGAGAATAGAGTTACTTGAAGCAAGTAATTGCAATTGTCTATTAATTAGAAAACACTTTAATTATTTTGTCACTCCTGATATGAAAAGTTAGTCTAGCAAACTAAAATTGTTGATTAAGTAATTGATTTTTTTTAATGTATTTATTTACTAGTGTCAATCAGATAGATAAGAGGAGATATCATTAAACCCAAAGAATATAACTTCCAGATTGAATATGTTTACATACAAAACAAAAACATTTGGCCATTTGCCAACATCTTATAAAGTATTAAAATCATTACTGAGTGCTTTTTCCTCAGAGCCCTGTGCCAGCCTAATTGTAATAAATATTTACTTTAGTATGGTTACTGTACAATGATTATAAGCTTGATTCACAAATCATTGCTTGTAAGTTCAATCCTGACTAGATGTTCAAACTAGGTTAAGCTAAGATCAACTAATTTGATTGTGTCTTAATTCAATGTTTCTTATCTTTTATTCACTGCATAAATTTTCATGTCTGTTGTGTGTCAGTGGGAAGGTGTGAAAATAAGAAAATGTGAAATTGGTAGCATTGCAAATAAATAGTAAGTGTAAAATTATCCATTTCAATAGTGGAAACATTTAGCATTTATTGACCAAGAAATTTGTGTTACTGTCAATTGAAATTTTATAAAATTTTCTTCTGAAAAGTATTCCAGGAAAATAAGTTTCTCAAATCCACTGTTATCATTCTTTATATTAATATTTGATATTAGTGTTGAGGGGAGTTCCCTTCATAACCTTTTGTTTAAGGTAGTGTGGAAAGCCAACATACTGATTATGCTGTTATTTTCTCTTTGAGTTACAAGTGCTAACAATTTTAGTTATTGCTGCTTTTAGAAATCTACAAGTGGCATGAGGTCTTTGTTATTTGTTAAAGTTATTTATTTGTGATTTTGTAGTGCCAGTCTATATGAAGGATAGACTTCTTTAAGACCTACAGGGTCCATTTGCTTGAAGTAGTTATTTATTTGTGTTGCTTAGTTTTGGCAAAAGACCACAAATAAAACTCACTTGCTTCTCAATAGCATAAAACTTATTTACCATTTAGAGATTCTTGATAAAATCCAAAAAGAACCAGCAATACTATTGGTCTTGACCTGTCATCTCGGCTTCAGTCACTTTCCCACCACCATAATGTAGCTTCCCTGTGCCTTTTTTATAAATACTTTCATGGCAACTGTTCTGGTGAACTCTTTGCTATGGTAATCAGCCTTTATGAATTTAAGTGCAGTACTAGATTGGTGGCAACTTCTCATCAATTCAAAGTTGAATTGGCTAGATGTAACCATAGATTCTATGATAACAGTTTCTTTTCCCACACTTCTTGTTTGTGGAACTCTCTTCCAGCTCCATGCTTTCCAGCCAACTTTGATCTTCAAAAATTTAAATGCAATGTCAATTGTTATCTGTACTGATTACTCTTCTAGTGTTCTCACTGTTTCTCTTTTTTTCTTATTCTTTCATACTCAATAATCCTTGTGATTTTATAGCCTTGCTTGGGATCATATGATTAAAAAGAAAAAATATTAAAATGATAAATATCATTGATTTTATTTGATCACAGTACAAGAAATAATTAGTCTTTCTGGTTTAAGATGAAACTAATTTCATTTTGGATGCATAAAAAAATAATTTTCATAATTATTCATAAAAAAACATACCCAGAAAGAATGAAATGTTTTTTTTTAATAAATTTGATTCAAAAACTAAAACTGATTGATTCAAAACCTTTCAAAAAAAGAAAACAAACATGATACATACTAAATCAGTTTGGTATTTTAAACTTCAGTTTTTATTGTATGCAACCTTAAACAGCCTACTCTGTGCACTCAAATTTCATAGACATTCTCAGTTAAGAGCACACTTGGAGGAGAAATCTTGCATGCACTCAAAACAATTATCCTCACCTCCAGTAACCAATAAAAATCCCTATTTGCCACTGATTAAAGTCATTGAGGAAGGAGCATAATGGAAAGTGGGTAGAAAAAGAAGGTATGAATGAATGTGATTCATCCCCTCCTCCTGAAATCATCATCAGCAGAATGCTAAGAGAGATGTGCACGCAATTGACACTGGTGAAAAGTGCCAGGGAATGAGATAAACTACAAAAGTCATTTGTGATATTTGCTTTTAGGAAAGCAAGTTTCATTCTGAATCCTGTTTGATATCTGGTGTGAGATATGTACATTGCTAGACAAAAAACAAAAACAAGAAAGTTGATATAGCACAAACAAGAATGTTCACAAAAGTTTTTTTTTGAATTTCTGGGATGGGGAGCTTTTATTATTTATATTTAGACCAATGTCCTCATATTTGTTGTTATCATCACAATGTTTTTCAGCCATTGTACCCTCCAGACTTCTTTGGTTATCCTTCAGGGAAGAGCAGTACTAAAAAAAAAAGCAGGATGAGATATTCCTAAACATGAACAGTGGAACAATCTAGCCCCATTGGTTAAGTAAAGGATATCATTCAAAATTCCTTGAATGTTATCTGGATTGATAGACACTTGAAAATGGCCAGGGGGCACAATGGCTGAAACGTTGTGATAACACCAACACCGATGAGTACATTAGTCTGACTGTAAATAATGTAAATAACTTTACAGTCATGTATCACTTTTATCTTCAAATCTTGTTGCAAAATAAAATGGCAAACTTAACTTGGGTTATTGCTAATGACACTGTCTAACCATTATCTAATCAAAATTATCACTCACGGTATTTCAGCCAAAAAGGCAACGCACTTCTTTAGTAAATAACCATTGAACCTTATACCAAATGTATATTCATGACTTAACTCTACTAAGAATACTTACTTTCAGCAGAAAGAACAACAACATGTTTCAGGTAGATAGCAAGTTCTTGTGGCTGCAGAAGCAACAAGTGTCTGACAGCACTAATTGCAGGTACAGGTTTTCCTCTCTTCTCCATATAATAAACCAAAGTGACATTATTGGAGGAAGTAGTTTGTGAACGAGTGATATTTATCATCTGAAAGAAAAAGAAAAAACTTATTAATATTAAGGAAACTTCAACTTTTCATATTAAACCAATAGTTTTTAATAATCCAGATTTATTTCATTTATTCAATTCTATTTAGCAATTTGGTTTCCAAATTCAAATTAGTCCAAGTAACATCCATTTTAGACATACTCAGAGGATGTAAGTTAAAGTTTCATTAGAGGTTACTTTTTATTTAGATCCATGCTGGTTAATTAAAAAAAAAAAATCAGGGATAAAATGTAATATTCTTAAAATGTTATTCAATAAAAGGTAGACAAAAAGAGAGCAGGAACAACTGTCATTATTATATTTTAAATATTGAAGTACCTGTAATGCAACATCTTTCACAAGTGCAAAACGTTTTTTCCTGAGAGGCTGGTATGTTCCATTGAGAATGCGTTCACCTCTTTGATAAGCTTCAACATATGCCTGAGCAAGATTATGTTCCATTTCACTACGGAAAGCCACTGCACTGATGTTGATATCAAGATGCACTTTGATCACTGAACAAGAATTGGAAGGATAAAAAAATTAAGTCATTAGGCGCCATCACAAATATGAATATTGCATTAAGAATGTAATATTGAAGTACTATTCAAAATATGATGATGAGAGATATGAATAGGCCAACATGAAGAGACTAGAATGCATAGGTAGATATAAAGAGACTATGGTAGACAGACATCAGAGACTAGGATAGATAGATAAGGAACAGAACGAGATAGATAGATAGATGTAATGAAATATATTTTTTAAGTTATGTTATATTTATGGGTTAAAGGGATAGAGTGCATGTAAATATAAAAGTGGACATTGAGGTTAACACCCAGCCTGTGACTGTCTGTTTCATGCTTAAATGCAATCTTCAGGCCATGTTTGCTCATAGATAGGTATAAACAAACCAGAATATAGAAGCAGATAAGATAGCATCATAGGTAGACATCAGAAACTAAGGTAGATAGATAGGTAGGTAGAAACAAATTAGGATATACAACCAGATAAGAAGATACCACGGTAGAAACTTAGATAGAATTATAGACAGATATAAACAGATTAAAACAGATATAAACAAACCAGAATATACATGCAGATAAGAAAATACCATGGATATGAACAGGAAAGGGTAGATAAATATGTTCATGTGGTATAGTAATTATCAGCATGGAAAAGCGGATCTGGTGAACTGTTCAAATTCCAACTTAGTCTCTTGTGTTCACTTTCACACAATTGCCCTTGAGAAAGCATGAGTTCATCTCTTCTCTCCGCAAATAGGTGTTAAATAGCAGGGTAAACTGAACTTAGATGGAAACCAGTCTAAGAAAAGGAAAACTCTAAACTCCAAACTGTGGAGAAGGCAATGGAAAAAACACTCCACAATCTTTCCCAGGATTATATGACAATTTGCAGATAATAAAAAAAGGAATCTGTGGAGAACCATGATCACCTGCTTCCTGAAGAGAGAGATCTTCTAAATGACCTGTCCCTTCAGGACAGGTGATCATGGCCCTTAACATTTCTCCATTTGCCAAACCTTCAAAACCTATTCCATCATCCATTCACACAAACTCATCAGATAGCTGATGGATATCTATCTCTCTCGCTCGCTCTTGATATGACTTGTGAGCCCTCCTTCCTCATTATGTGTCCAGTTGATTTCGGCTGTCTCTTTCTGATTCTAAGTAATCTTTTTGTTACCATTTTCTTTAAGATTTCCTTGTTGCTTACACAATCCATGTAATACTTAGCATCCTTCTGTAGAGACATTTCTATTGTCTCCAGTTTCCTCTTCATCTTTGTTGAGATTGCCTAGCAATCTATACAAGAGGATTGATATCATATAACAATTCAGCAAACTTTTCTTTGATTCTAACAAAATTTTCCTGTTTCTTTGTACTTTGTTTAGCTTTTGGAATGTGTATTTTGCTAATCTGTTGCACATTTGCATTTTTGTATCACATTTTCCATCCTCTGTCAAAACAATTCCTAGATACTTAAACTGCTGTACTTATTTGATATTGACATCTCTAATTTGTAGTTTGCATCTTGGCCTTTTTCGCTTGCTGACAACCATACTTTATTTTCTTACAGTTGATGGCTAATCCTTTTTTTCCTTGCTTTACTTTACTACCTTGATTAGGAGGTTCTGTCATTTTGATTGTTTCTGCCATCAACAGTGTCATCTATGTATCTTATATTGTTAAGATTGCACCCCCAACTATAATGTCCTGGTAGGGTCTCCAGATTCTTTAGGTTAGTCTTGCTTTATTGAAATAAACTGGAAAGAAAACATGTTTTTATTTTATGCTCCTTTCTATTTTTGTTTACCTACTCAATTTGTTTTTTTTATCAGTATGCAGGTGGTTTGCTCCCAGTATAATTTCTGTATTATTCTAACATCCTTTATCAATAGATCTAGTTTTCCAAACAGCTCAAATAAGTCCTTGTGCCATACCTTGTCAAATGATTTTTTGCATAATCTATAAAACATAAATATACAGCCTTCTGCATTTGTTTTGCTCTCTCTGATATCATCCTAATTATATTGTATTTCTTGTTCCAGTTTTCTTGACCAAAGATTTCAAAAGGTATTTAAATGAAAAAAAAAAAATTGATCTGACTATACTAACGTTTTGTCCTTTATTGTTTTTTAATGGGGAAGAGAAGTACTTGACAATATTCACCTCCTCTTCAACATGCAGCAAATAATATTGCGTGGATGTCCCAGGGTGAGGTAATAGCTAGCAAGTGAGTGGTTGATATATTATTACCAAGTAGTGAATCTGATCTTAACTGGGTCCCCTATACTTATAGCTTTATGCCAAATAAAACTAAGCTTACTAAATAATTGTGGGTACACCATGATGGTGTAATGATGGTCAGCAAGATCATTAGTTGTGAATTTGATTCTCACTGGGTGCCCCATAATTGTGGCCTTGTGCCAAAATGAAGCTGTGCTTAGTAAATAAATATTAAGCAGTACTGCTACAAGTGGAAGAAAATAATCCCTCCTCTGACCGAGAATTGCACAGATAATTATAACATGGATTGTCTGGGCTTCATTCATTCTATCTTTTCTATGACTTCCATTGTGGCATGCCAGTAACAAGAGCACATATACAAAATCCAAAAGAAGGGAATAGAAAATAGTAACAGCAATTTTTATTTTTTTTTAGGAAGTGACAAAGATTCACCGGACACCTGATACAAAAAAAACTGACATAGGAGAAATTGGCAGAGCCCCAAAATTGAACCACTTTTAAGCAGCAGGGGTACCAAGCCTTCTGCTGCTGATTTAAATGCAATTAGAAGTTATGTAGATCTAACACTGGCCTCTTTCTTTTTTTTTTTTCCCTATTCAAAAACTTCAAGTCTTACTCTCCATTGATTGCAGCTCATAATTTTTCTGTTGGTGCCCATTTTTAAAGAGACAATGTGCTAGTTAATTTGAGGTATCAATCCATAAAACTTTATGCATTTCACCTCTTTCAAACATGCTATTCAAAACAGCTAAATCAATCTTCAATTTCTTATCTTCAACATTTTTATCAGATTTCAAACAATCTAAGCTCCTGTTGTCAACATAATTTATTTTTAAACTGCCACACCCCAAAAGTTGTGACAAAATGCTCCATATGTACACTACAGTCAGTTCCTGCACACTCAACCAATGCTAAGATTGACTTCATCACTTGCCAAAATTTTCTTTATTGGAACATCTGGCACCTGCAGAATCTTTCAGAAAGATTACAAATCCTCTCTGTGAACTACTCTCAGAAATGTTGTCAAATGAGGCATCTGTGAAGCATTCCAGATGACAATCTTCAAGTTGTTGCATTCTGGGAAAATATAATCTGAAATAATCAGTTGTTATTTTATGTAGAATTTGGACAATAGCTGCAAGAAATTCCTTGACCTTGGCTTTTCTCCTAATAAACCTGTGTTTGGACACAATCCTAGTTTACCAAATGTATTTGAAAATGACATTCTTGCATTGACTCACCGTGCCCCTCCATTACAATCTTATCCAGTAATCCTCTACCTTGAGTGGCCCTTGGGACTTTTGGCTTACATCCACATGTTGAAACATTGGTTCCTGTATGATCCCTAAAGTTAAGCAACATTGAGACTGGTCAGTAGCTAAATGGGTGACCACTTGTGAATAGCAGGTGCTGTAAGTTTGGATATGTGGGTGGTGTAATTGATAATGGCTTGGAATTGTTAGTTGGAGAGCTGAATTCTGTTGGGTTCATTATATTCACTTATGTGCACATACCCTTTGGAAAGGTATGAATCCAGCTCTTCTCCCTCTTCCCCAGCTATGGGCTAATTAGTAAGACTTTTATCGCTAAACCATTATTATCTCCAAAATAAACTTCTCTTATGCTAGTCATAGAAAATGAATCAATTAATCAATCAGGCCTTTGGGCTTTTGTAGTGCATGAACTAACAATAGAAAAAGAAAGGAAAAAAATCAGAAAGCAAGCAAGAGAGAATAAAGCAAATAGAAAGAAAAAGAAACAGAAGACAGGAAAATTGCAAAAAAACATAAAAAGATTAAAGAAAAAAGAAAAAAATAAAAGTTTGCAAATCAGTAAAGAACATTATTAAAAGCAAATAATCATGGCTGAAACCTGGAAAATATAGAAATGTTCTAAATTTTATAAAACTATATAACAAAAAAAGGCAACAAATAAAAGTGAAAAATTATCAGCATTGGAGATTAATAAAAACATCCTCCATCGCCCCTCAAATCATGCCATCAGAAATTCAAACTTTCATTGTACATGTGTAGTGAAACCTGCAAAACTTCTCTCTTGCTTGGATTCTCCATGCTACACATCTGGAAGGGCTCAGAAAAAGTAATGGCAAGGAAAGGAAGCACAAAGACAGTGATAAACTGGAATAAAGACTATAATATATCAGCTGCATTTACATGATTTTATAATTGGAACAGGGTTTGGGAGAAGTAGCAAAAGGACAAAACATATTGAGAGCTACAAGGGCTTGGGAGAATGGAGAGCCATGATTGCCTATGTCCTAAATGGACATAGCACATAAAAGAAGATGTGTTCATACGTGCTCGTCTAATTCAGTGGTAAAATATAGAACTGAAAATTTCTTGTATTGGCTTTTGATTCCAAAGCTTGGTTAGTGGACTTCATTTAAGAGAAGTTGTTTTGATATTAAATCTTAGTAAAGTAGACCACTCTTTTGTACTTCAACTGAAAACTTTTAAGACTATCTGACATACCAGCCGGTTCATTCAGTATTTCCGGGATCTACAAGCACATTGTTTTTCAAAGGATCAAAAATTTATTCCCTCATGACTTGTTCTTTTCTTCTACATTCATATTCACCCCGTACAAGGCTCGAGAGCCACTCGAGGTGGAGGGTTACAGAGTAAGAGGCACAGTTTATATAGATATGTGAAGATAATGGTTAACCTTAGACTTGAACAGGTTAAAGATTGTAGTGATTGGGAAAACATACTTTTGGGAGTTGGTTCCACAGTGCAGTGGTTCACAGGAAGAAGCTGCTCATATGAAACTTACTGTTCACCAATGGAATATGGAGTGACTTATTTTTGTTACTGATGTAGCAGATGCTAAACTAAATGCCAAAAATAACAACCATTTCTGTATTCCTCCAATGTTTAAAATGTTTTGGAAAAGTTTACCATAACTGGTTCAGCACACATGTCAAATCTGTACATCTTTCATTTAAAGTTATTTTAGGTGAAAAACTGATTCTTAGGAAAATTCACTGAATTTTTGTATTCTCAGAAAAATATAACTAAACTTCTGATAATTGATGAAATTATAAATATTAATTTATTATCAATCTTAAGCATTTGTTCATTTTTATTATACTTTCACAATTAAATTTAACATTAATTTTTAAACATATTTTCTTTTTGTCTAAGTCATCTTCAAGATTGAAAGGTGGAATTTGTCATTTATATATTCATTTTATATATTATGTAATCTATGATATCACAGATAGAATTTTTTAACATTTTCACTGCTGCATTTTTATAGCATTGTTGCCTGGTTGTAATGGCCTGTTTTCTGGATTTTTTTTATATTATGTCCATACATGATATCATAACTCCCCCCCACAGATTTTTTTTATTATTTGTGAATTGTTATACATTCTTGGAAAAGTTAGTGGAGCGTTTTCCTGCTGCCTTCTTCATGGTTTAGAGTTTAGAACTTTCTTTGTCTTTGACTGGTTGCCACCAAAAAATAGAGTCTAGTCTACCCTGCTATTTAACTCATAGCTGAGGGCAGGGGAAAACGACAGATTAATGCTGTACTGACTTGTTCACTGGAATTTTTTTTTATACCATGTCCCTATAGGACATAGGTGATCATAAGTCTCCACAAATTTTTCTTTATTATTTGAGGATTGCCATGCATTTTTAATTCTTGGGAAAATAGTGGAGTGGTTTCCCTAGGGCTTTTGAATTTAGAGATTTCCTTCTCTTTGACTGGTTGCCACCAAAAAATAGAGTCTAGTCTACCCTGTTTTTTAACTCATAGCTGAGATGTACAGGATGTGGTAAAAATATCTCTCACATATACTTCCCATATAATGGTAAGACATTAGCCAGATGAAGACACCTTGCCATTAATGTCTTACCACTATATGGGAGGTATTTTTGGGATGTATCTGCAGGAAGTATTTCTACCACAACAAGTACAATATAAATATACTGAAAATTATTTTACTATAGAAATAGAAAATCAGGAAGAAAAGTATTTTCTTTGGTTAGTATTACTGATAGAATCGTGCTATTAAACTGAAATATACAACTGCAATCTCTCCCCAATATTTATATACATAAACTGGATAACAGTAGTGAACTTGCTAATTTTTTTCACTTAAAAGTAATCTGAAATTAAGGACACAAAGATTTGAACTTGGATCGTTTTGCATATTGAATGTTAATACTTGTTAATGCTTGCAAACTGCCACTTCAATTTCTTTTGTCAATTTTTGACTAATGTTATTTGAATAACCACCACTAAACAAAGGAGAATAACTGATGCTTAACTTTTAAATATTTTACAAATGATTAAATAAAATATTAGAAAATATGTTTAGTAAGCTGGAACAAAATAATTGTGACAATGGAGAGAAATGAACAAAATATTTTAATCATGCAGACACTTGTACTAATGTAACTAAATTATTTCATTCAATGGGCATGATGCTTAGTTGGTATGGCATGCTTTGTCCAAGCACTTGGTACACACGAGTAGTAGTCTATACTACACTTTGACTGTAGGCAAAAATGCTGATCTATACATAAATAATCCTGATATTTTATGGGTACTATGCAAGTACAAATATAAAACACAGAGATCATGAGTTGAAAAAACTTTTTTTAAAATTTAGAGTGAAATGAAATTTTTTAACTGAATGCTGAATAATTATATTTTCAGAAACATCAAAAATGTTATTGCTTTTCAAATATTAAAAATGTCACGTTTAAAAAGAAAATCAGCAATTTTTATGTTGAACAACCTAGCATGAAAGTAAATATGACAAAAAACTTGGGTTTAATGTGGTACTCCATACACAGCTGTATATAAAAATAAAAAATGCCTAGTCCCTACAGACTATGATGTAAATGTATTAGGACAACCAATGATCCTCCTGTTTAGTTCAATGGGGAGGTGTTGTGTCAAGGGCTAAGTTCATCTACTTCAATTTTGTGTTTTAGCTTACCTGAAGACAAGACAATGTAAAGAGCTGGACATAGTAGAGATGTCTGTTTAATTTGATCGAATTTAAAAGAAAAAGAAATCTGAATCAGAAATATAAAGTCTGAACAACTCACCAGTTATAACCCAGTAATTCTGAAAAGCCTGACTCAGATTTAACTTGGGATCTGGGGAGGTTGGTGGTAAGGTGATATCCAAAGTTACGAGTGGATTTGTGCACTTGTCTACATCAGATATGGAATGATTCGCCAACTTGGTAGTTGAATAAAACAAAGAAGTTGTATTAATTTCATGACTCAAAGTTTTGGTAACAGAAAATGTTGGCAGCAAAGTTGAAACAAAACTTGATATGGAATTCATCTCAGTTTTAAGAGTAGACTGAGTCTCTAGCTTAAACCATGAAGAGTTGAGCTTTGTAGAAATGGGATGAAGAGTAAGAGTGAAAGTTGAGTATAATTGTGATTGAGAAAGAGATGACATGGTTGGGGATGTAAGTTCAGAAATTAAATAAAGTGTTTCAAATTTTGAAGAGAATTTTGTTGAATGGGTCATGTCAAGTTCAGATGAGAACCAAGGTATTGATTGTGATGTCTGTTGGAAGGAAAAGAGGGATGGCTGTAATAATGAAAGGGAGGAATCTGTAGAGTAAGATGAAAATTGTGAAGCTTGATGAGATAAATCTGATTGTAATGATGATTGTAATGTTAAAGGTAATGATTGTGTTTGAAATGTTGATTTTGATCCTGATTGTAGTGAGTGAAACTGTGATTTCAAATGCAATGATTTCAAATCTGATGACAGCTGCAATGTTTGGTGTGGAAACTCTGTTTGTAATGATCCCTGTGAAGATGCCAACTGCAATGTTTCTGATTTTACAGAAAAGTTCAACACCAAAGGAGATGAATCTAATTGTGATGTCAACTGTAACAATTTTGACATTTGTATTGTAAATTGTGATGAAAGAGTAGGTATAAGCTGTGATGAGATTTGGGATGTGAACTGTGATGTCATTTCAGAAGAAAATTGTGAAGAAGAAGAAGAAGGTATAAACTGTGATGACATTTTGGATATAAATTGCAATGATGGAGTAGGTATGAGCTGTGATGAGATTTGGGATATGAACTGTGATGTCATTTTGGATGAAAATTGTGAAGAAGAAGAAGGTATAAACTGTGATGACATTTCAGACATAGATTTTGATGATGGGGTAGGTATAAGCTGTGATAAGATTTGGGATGTGAACTGTGATGTCATTTCAGATGAAAATTGTGAAGAAGAAGAAGGTATAAACTGTGATGACATTTGGGATATAAATTTTGATGATGGGGTAGGTATAAGCTGTGATAAGATTTGGGATGTGAACTGTGATGTCATTTCAGATGAAAATTGTGAGGAAGAAGGTATAAAGTGTGATGACATTTCGGACATAGATTTTGATGATGGGGTAGGTATAAGCTGTGATGAGATTTGGGATGTGAACTGTGATGTCATTTCAGATGAAAATTGTGAAGAAGAAGAAGGTATAAACTGTGATGACATTTCGGACATAGATTTTGATGATGGGGTAGGTATAAGCTGTGATGAGATTTGAGATGTGAACTGTGATATCATTTCAGATGAAAATTGTGAGGAAGAAGGTATAAACTGTGATGACATTTGGGATATAAATTTTGATGATGGGGGTAGGTATAAAGCTGTGATGAGAATTGGGATGTGAACTGTGATGTCATTTCAGATGAAAATTGTGATGAGATTTGGGAAGAAGAAGAATTTATAAACTGTGATGACATTTCGGACATAGATTTTGATGATGGGGTAGGTATAAGCTGTGATGAGATTTGAGATGTGAACTGTGATGTCATTTCAGATGAAAATTGTGAGGAAGAAGGTATAAACTGTGATGACATTTCGGACATAGATTTTGATGATGGGGTAGGTATAAGCTGTGATGAGATTTGGGATGTGAACTGTGATGTCATTTCAGATGAAAATTGTGAAGAAGAAGGTGGTATAAACTGTGATGACATTTGGGATATAAATTTTGATGATGGAGTAGGTATAAGCTGTGATGATATTTGGGATGTAAATTTTGATATCATTTTGGATGTAAATTGTGATGAAGGAGTCGACGTAAGCTGTATTGACATTTTGGATGGAAATTTTGATGAAATGGGTATAAACTCTGATAACATTTGGAATGCAAATTTAGGTGTCATTTTGGATGTAAATTGTGATGAAAGCATAGGTATATGCTGTGATGACATTTGGGATGTAAATTTTGATGAGTGAGTTGATATAAATTTTGATGTCATTTTGGATGTAAATTGTGATGATGATGTAGATATAAGCTGCGATGGCATTTGAGGTGTAAACACTGATGATAGGTGTAATGGTTTGATCGGAAATGGAAATGCTGATGACAGTTGCGATGTGTACAATATTAAATTTGATTGTGATGTTGGTTGTAAAGTTTCAAGCTGTGATAACAACTGTGAAAGAGAAAGCAAATCCTCTGATTGCATTTGTATCAAAGTTGAGTCTACCATTGATAATGAATCTCTTTTGAATAATGATTGTGACACCTGAGATGATTGCAATTGTGATGTCCATTCAGAGAGTTCTGCCTCAAAGAGTAACTTTGATGTAGGCTTGGACTGCTCTACCATAACTGATGATGTCAAATGGGATGTTTGAAATGATGAAAATATTTGTGATGCAATAGATGATGAATCTAACCAGTAGGTTATTTGTTCTGATGGCTCAAGTATCGAAGACTGGGAGTCTTGAGACATTAATTGAGATGATTGATTATGAAATGATTCTTGAGATGACATGAGCTGCAACATTGTTTGTGATGATTTTACTCTTGATGACTCCAAGTAAGAAGATAAGTTTGTTAACAGTGTTGATTGGTCAGACATAAATTGTGACGATTTCTGTGTTTGTGACTTAGATAAACTTTTGTTTAGCAACTGTGATAATAATTTAAAATGAGAAGATATTTGTAATAATGATTGGGTTGATTCAAGAAACTGCTTTGAGAATGGAGAATCCCAACTCTTAGAATTTAGATCCATTGATGAGGAATAATCAAATGGATTAGAGCTGACCGTTTCCATAGATCCAAAAAGACTGGGATCATTTGTTGCCTTTGCATCTGCAAGTTTTTGTGGCAATGAAGATGAAGTCAGCAACCAAATAAGAGAAGTAGATGAGCTTTTCAAGACAAATTCTGAACTCATGGATGGACTTAGTTGAACACTTGAAGTATCAACTGATTCTGAAGGTGATATCAAACCAGATATGAGATATGATGAAAAAAGCAAATCATCTTCTACTGTGTTTGAATCAGCTGTCCATGTTGAATCAGACAGTTTGCTCTGACTGTGAAAATCAACAAAAGCAAGTGGTGATTCAATAAGTGTTTCTTTCCTAGAGAATTTCTGATGCTCAGTGAAGTGATTTTTGGAAACTGAAAGCTCAGGACTTAACAGATCATTTTCATTCTCATATTCTGAACTAGTCAGTTGATTGGCTGTCATACTCACATCCCTGTTAATAAGTGCACGCAGTTGACTGTCTGAATCAGTTGTGAACGTTTTAGAATCCATTCCTGACAAATCTAACAAGGCCTGTACATCTGGATTAACACCTGCAGGAGGGAAAAACAAATTGGATAACTCAGGTGTGGATAACAATGTATTTGTAGAATCATCTGTAGATAAAGTCATGTTTGAACTTCCTGTAATTAAAACTGAATTTAGAGATTGAGAATAAGATTCTAATACGGAAAGTTGCAACTTATTTCCAGAACTTAGTGAAGGCATCAAAGTTTCTAGTGGCATAAAATAAGAAGTCATTTTTGGTGTGGCTTTCCCTTGAGATATCTCAGGAGAAACAAGTTCAGAAGACAAAACTTCAAGAAAAGAAGAGGACAAAATATCCACTGAATTATAACTTGGCTCTTGATCAGGTATCATTGTAGGAAGTAAAGGAAAATCATCTGAAAATATATTTTCTTGTGAATATGAAAGCATCATGCTGGAGGCTCTTGACTTTTGCTCTAAAGAAAGAAATGAATCATTTAGGATTAAATTATTGGTAATGTTAGCAGCTGCTATATCAGTTTTTGAGGGCATTATATTTGAGGGATGTTTCAGGTTTTGTCTTTTTTGAGAGCCAAAAGTCAAATTGAAATTCTTCTCATCTCCAAAACTGTTAATAGCTTGTGGAGTATTTTGGTTGATTGGGGACTGTGAAATAAATCCTTCAGACAATGAAGTATGAGTTAGATCACTGTCAAAAGTTAAAGATGATGATGTTTGAAGAGGTAGGAAATCATTAAAAGATAATGTAGAGTGAATATCTGACCATGAGAGAGGTTGGCTTGAATTTCTCAAAGCAAAATCAGAGGAAAAATCTTTAGGGAAAGTTGTGGTTGGGTGAACAGAATCTACAAAAGATGAGAGCTTAACTTCAATGGACTCTTTTGTAAATTGGGAAGGTAATCTGGATGAAGGCACTAAATTTGAAACAAAATCCGATAAAAAACTTGGATGAAAAGATTGATCTACAGAATTTGATTGAAGAGAAATTTGCCTAAATTGTTCAAACTTGTTTAGCAATTGTTTATTTGGTGTAATTTTTCTTGAAAACAATGATTGTTTTGTATTGACAGATTTCTTTGTTCTTTCATGTTTTTCACTGATCTGTGACTGGAACCATAGAGGAATTACAGGGTTAGATGAAGGCAGAACAGATGTTGAAGAAACATAAGTTGAAGAACTCAAGGAAGGTAATTCTGCACTGACTGAATCAGATGCATTTATATAATTAAGCACAGTGTCAATATAAGTCAATATGTTCATGATATTGAGATTATGAGTGACATCATTCACTGATAATGTTTTTAATGATGAAGGAAACTGGGTCTTACTGACTAATTTATTTGAAAAAGTACTGAATATATTCTGGGAAAGTTCTGATTCTAAAAATGAATTTGAACTATAAATTTGAGGTAATGACTGAAATCTGGAATGTTCATCAATTTCTAATGACTTCTCAATGATTGGAGGATGTCTTGCCTGAAATAAAAGGATGCTTTCCAGAATTGTATATTTGGTAGAATTCACAGAATTGGCAGAATTCATATAAGCCGTTCGGTTTGTAAGTGAATTCAAAACCGAACTTTGATCAGATGGAGTTGGGTATACTGATATTTTTATTTGGGGAAAAGATTGTGATTGGTATGGTTCTATATTAGAAGACATGGTTGGAATTATTGTATGCAATATGTTGTCTTCATCTGAAAAATCTTTTAGGGAAGAAAATGAGGTTTCAAGTTGGGTATTTAATGGCAC